CAATGGGCACAGCCAGACACTACTCCAATAAGTGTCCCAGCAGACATTCGCTTCTCCATCTGGATCTCATTCTTTGAGATCTACAATGAGTTGCTTTATGATCTGTTAGAACCACCTAGCCAGCAACGTAAGAGACAAACTCTACGTCTGTGTGAGGATCAAAATGGCAATCCCTATGTGAAAGGTATGTGAATGTGGAGGTGAAAGGCAGAGATCCTGGAGAGAACTTCTAGAATGACGAGGAAAGGAGTCTGGTGTTACCATCTTATGCATTCTTTTTTGGTCCCAGACCTCAATTGGATTCATGTTCAAGACGCTGAGGAAGCTTGGAAACTCCTGAAAGTGGGTCGGAAGAACCAGAGCTTCGCCAGCACCCACATGAACCAGAACTCTAGTCGTAGGTGAGTTGTGAGGATAAACCCTTCATTATGCTTAAGAAACATTAGTCCTCCAGCTGGTCTTAGAGGTAGTTGATGTTTTTTTCTTTTTCTTAACTTTTAGCCACAGTATCTTCTCAATCCGGATCCTGCACCTTCAAGGGGAAGGAGATATAGTTCCCAAGATCAGCGAGTAAGTTTTTCCATTCAGTAGTTCTGGACTCAGAGGGGAGGCCCTCTGGGGAGCTGGTCTCTCTTGGTTGCAGAGATTCTCTCCAGAACCCTAAGATGGGCTAGAACCTCATATGAGGTACTTATGTCAGGCTGTACTTCTTTCTAGGCTGTCACTCTGTGATCTGGCTGGCTCAGAGCGTTGCAAAGATCAAAAGAGTGGTGAACGGCTAAAGGAAGCAGGAAACATTAACACTTCGCTGCACACCCTGGGCCGCTGTATTGCTGCCCTGCGCCAAAACCAGCAGAACCGGTGAGCTTCTGACTGTAAGCTGTGGGCTGGGATGGCCTGGGGCTCTGCAATTTACTAAGTCTTCTTGGCTACCTCTGGAGATGGTGCAGGGATACCCAAGGGCTAGAGCTTTGCTCACAGATTATCTCTTGATTCTCTGCCAGATCAAAGCAGAACCTGATTCCCTTCCGGGACAGCAAGTTGACTCGAGTGTTCCAAGGCTTCTTCACGGGCCGAGGCCGTTCCTGCATGATTGTCAATGTGAATCCTTGTGCATCAACCTATGATGAAACTCTTCATGTGGCCAAGTTCTCAGCCATTGCCAGCCAGGTGAGAAGCTGGAGTTGGAATGGTTAGGCCTACTTTGGGCTGGTAACTTTGCTTTCAAAAACTATTATAGGGCTGGGGATTTGGCTCAATGGTTCTACCACCTCCTTGCAAGCGCAAGGTCCCGAGTTCGATCCCCAGTACCAAAAGAAAAAAAAAGCTATCATAGACTACTGAAGGAGTCAATTAAGATTTTTTTCACTCCTCTAGCTTGTGCATGCCCCACCTGTGCAGCTGGGACTCCCATCCCTGCATTCATTCATCAAGGAACACAGTCTTCAGGCCTCCCCTGGTGCAGAGAAAGGGGGTAAGACAGATCCAGGCCTGGATGATCAGATTGAAAATGAAGCTGACCTCTCCCTGTATAGCAAGGAGGTGAGAATACAAGAAAGCTTTGGACAACAGCTCAGTGACTACATTTCCATTCTGCCTTCCTAGTCTTGGGCCTTTTTGGGGGTATGGACATCTTAAAACCTTTGACACGTGTTCCTCCTAGGAGCTCTTACAGGTGGTGGAAGCCATGAAAACCCTGCTTTTGAAAGAACGACAGGAGAAGTTGCAGCTGGAGATGCAGCTCCGGGATGAAATTTGCAATGAGATGGTGGAGCAGATGCAACAACGAGAGCAGTGGTGCAGGTACTGGCAGAGTAACCTCTTACTGTGTCACCTGGGGACAGAGGCGAAAGGAACTGGGATGAAGTTGTCTCAAAATGTCACCCAAGTTCACTCCTAATCTTCACTTTTTTCCCCCTCTAAAAGTGAACATTTGGACACCCAGAAGGAATTATTGGAGGAAATGTATGAAGAGAAACTAAAGATCCTCAAGGAGTCACTGACAAGTTTTTACCAAGAAGAGGTTCAGGTGAGTTGCCCTGAACCAGCCCCAACTAGCTACTCAGATTACCCGAGGTGAGCAGATATTATAAATGCTAGCAAGAACAGAGTTTATAACTCACTCTCATGTCTATCCCTTTTAGGTATTTAATCTATAATTGGTGAATTAAGGGTTTAGTTGGCTAGGAAACAGTCTAAGTGCTAATAGGCTTTCCAGGTTTGTCAGAAAGGGTTTTGTTCATTTGTTCTAGTCATCTTTTCCTGAACTGTGCTCTCTGCTTCCCTCTTAGGAGCGGGACGAAAAGATTGAAGAGCTAGAAACTCTCTTGCAGGAAGCCAGACAGCAGTCTGTGGCCCATCAGCAGTCTGGGTCTGAAATGTCCCTACGGCGGTCACAAAGGTTGGCAACTTCTGCCTCCGCTCAGCAGCTCCAGGAGGTTACAGAGAAACTAAAACAGTGCAAAGCAGAGCTAACCTCCACCAGTGAAGGTGAGGGAGGAGAAGGCAGGAAGCATGACAGTGGTTCAGGGAGGAGCTGGTATTCAGACCTGGGCCTTCCCACCCAAGCCGAGTAATCCCTCAACTCCACCAACATCCACTGGCTTTTTACTCTACGATGTACATGGCTTTACATTTTATATTTGCTATAATACTCTTTAAGTAGGTTAAGTCTAAAGCTAGAAAACCTGTATTTGTTTCCTTCCCTCAGAACTACAGAAGTATCAGAAAATGGTAGAACCACCACCCTCAGCCAAGCCTTTTACCACTGATGTGGACAAGAAGTTAGAGGAGGGCCAGAAGGTAACTGCCTTTGTTACAAAGTTTTTGCCTAAAGCAATTTATCATCCAAAGCTGTCACTGATTCTGTGAGGAGGTATTCTTTGTGCAGGATTCTAGAGAATGGCCATTTTATTCAGCTGACTAGCCTAATTTTACTGTATTTCTCCAAATGGCTCCCCGACCCCTCCCAGTTATTACCCTGGTTGATCTCGGACAGATATGATTCCTATTCCTTTTTTCAGAATATAAGGCTGCTTCGGTCAGAGATTCAGAAACTCGGTGAGTCTCTCCAGTCAGCAGAAAGGGCCTGTTGCCATAGTACTGGGGCAGGAAAACTTCGTCAGGCTTTGACTACTTGTGATGACATCTTAATCAAACAGGTGAGGGCACCCACTACAACCCTTCCTCTCCTACTAGACCACTCTAATATATATGAAAGAAGGCAAATGAGCAAAAAGTAGAGTTAAGGCTGAACTTTTACAAATGGGGGGGGTCTCACCCTTGTAAAATTACATAATTGTTAGGCATTTGCTGTTATAACAGTTGAGAGGTAGATACTATATTTCATGTTTGACCCTAACATTATGTACTCCTGAAAATATACTAACAAGCTATGGCATCCCTCCTCTCCCCTTCTGAGTTACTAGGGATTGAACCCAGGGACTTCACCCTGAGCTACTCTCCATCCCCCTCCCCTGCAACTATTTTTTGGTACCTGCGATCAAATTCAGGACCTCATACTTGCCAGGCAGGCGCTGTTCCCCTGAGCTGAGACAGCACCTCACCAGCCTGGGCTCAAACTTCTAAGCCTGCTGTCTCAGCCTCTCCGAGCACTCTGAGATGACAGGCGTGCACCACCACTCCTGGCTTTCTCTGTTTTCCTTTCTGTGGTACTGGGAATCAAACCCATGACTGCCTCTGTGCTAAGCCAAAGACTTTTTTCATCATTAAGATGCACACTGATTCCAGATATTAAAATGTATAAAGTGTTTGTAGATGGGAGGGCAGGGGTAAGGGGAAAAAATGAGAATCAAGACTTGCCATGTAGAGGTACAAGGTCCCAACAATGAATGTAACTGTACTGTATCCCTAAAATGTACCAATAAACTCAAAGCTGAAAAAAAAAAAAGAAAACCACTCTTTAACCCAGAAAAATAAATAAATAACCCAAAAATACCAAAAAACTAAAAGCTAAAAAAAAAAAAAGAAAACCACTCTTTAACCCAGAAAAATAAATAAATAAATAAATAAAATGTTCAAAGAAAAAACTATTTGGGAGGCTCACAAATTTAAAGCAAGCCTAGAAAACTTAGCAAGACCCTGTTTCAAAATAAAAAGGGTGGGGGTTGTAGCTTGGTATTAGAATTGTTTGTACCCCAGTACTGCAATAATAAAGAAGAAAAATGTGAATCACTAATCATAGAATTGCTATCTAGGGACTAAGGCTCTTGGAAGATAAAGTAACTTATAGAAGCTCATACTACCTTACATCCTAGAAACTCCTTTTAGTACTGCTTATGTTTGGGTCTCAAAGGAAATATTCCCTCTATTCAGTTAAGAGCTCTGATCATAAAGAGCTAATCTTTAAAGAGGATGGATTACATTAATTTGCCCTCGTTTCTCTAATGGACCAGAAAGAAATGTTTTTTCTAACTTTACTGATGTTCCTTAGGACCAGACCTTGGCTGAGCTGCAGAATAACATGATGCTAGTGAAACTGGACCTTCGGAAGAAGGCAGCATGCATTGCTGAGCAGTACCATACAGTGCTGAAGCTCCAAGGCCAGTCTTCCGCCAAAAAACGCCTGGGTGCCAACCAGGAAAACCAACAACCAAATCAGCAGCCCCCAGGGAAGAAACCATTCCTTCGAAACTTACTTCCTCGAACACCCACCTGTCAAAGTTCAACAGACTGCAGCCCTTATACCCGAATCTTGCGCTCACGGCACTCTCCTTTACTCAAATCTGGGCCTTTTAGCAAAAAGTACTAACTGTGGCCAAAGAGAGTGCAGTCATTGCCCTGAGGTGGATCAACTGCTCAGCTTAATAACTAGATCTCTTAAGATTTACCGTACACCTGGAACTCTATGCAATACTCACGTGTTAGTTATTTTTCTCCTTTTGTATTATAATCACTTTTATAATCTCATATATTTTCACTCATATATCTATGCACACAAGTTATATTAAATAAAAATATTATTCACATTTATTTGAATTCCAAATTTAACAAAATCATTAAAAAAGGGCAGAAAAATCAAGACTCAAACACTTTGTTTTGAGATAGGGTCCTTCTGTAGTTCAGGCTGGCCTTGAACTATGTAGCCCAGGCTGCCTCCCAAGTGTGTCCCACCACACCCAGCTAAATCCTGGGCTCAGAATGATCCACAGCATCTAGGATTCATTACAGTACAGCACTCAGTGTCTACTGATCGTGCGTGCAAAGACCTGAAACCCTCTTAGAGCACGAAACAATGACTTTTTACCTTGTCTATACATTTAAGTCTAAAAAAATTCTTTTGGACACAAGGGGGAAAATACCATCAAGTGTTTATTAAAACAGACCAGCATGGCTGGGCATGGTAGCAGTGCACACCTCTAATCCCAGCACTGCAGGAAGCCAAAGCAGGAGGATTACAAGTCCCAGCCCAGCCTGTGTAATGTGACTAGTGAGAGAGATCCTTTCTCAAACAAAAACAAAAAAATTTTTTTTGATACTGGGGAACAAACTAGGAACCTTGCACTTGTGAGGCGGCGGTGGCAGCGGCAGCATCACAACTAAATCTCAAGCCCTCAAACAATTTTTAAAAAGGGCTGGAGATGCGGCTCAGTATGAAGACCCTGGGTTCAATCCCCAGTACCACACCAGGTTACCTGCAAATATTCATGACATTGTTTGTAATCCTGCTTCTAGCTTTGCTTTGGTAGGAGTACTGCTAATACTAAAGCCATCTTTGCCCTCTGAATGGGGCAACAATAGTTCATGCCTAATGGGTTTTTCTTTTATATTCAACCAGTTACTTTCAATTTGAAAGGTTTTAGAAGACCCCTTTTCAAAACTTTTGAAGACTTATCTTGTAAAATAAGAACAAATTTAACTCGACTCCATTTAAACCTATTCTCTGACATCAAAATAGAGGCCATGCTCAGCAAATTCAAGAGGTGGTTTCTGCCTCCTGCCCTAACTCCTTCCTAGGGCATTTAGTGCCCCTACTGCTGGAATGATAGGTCTCTCCCTTCCTTGCCTGCCCCACGCCTAGCATTAAAACCTTGTTCCTGTAGCATTGTCTGTATTAAAGTGCTATAACAGGGATTGGAGGGTGAGGGGTGGGGTAGAAGAAGGGCAAAAATCTATAGTCACTGAGCAGAAGGGAGATAGAAGTGCTTCTAACTGGCAAAAGACAGTATGTGCTCCTGCCAGTATTCTTCTGTCTGCCTCTGAAGGTGATAAATTGTCCCCAGGGAGCTGTTTCCATCTGTAGAAATGAGAAGAGCTGCAGTCCTCGGGAGAACAGATATGGCTGTTCTTTATATGGAGGTAAGGCTTAACACAGGTGTAGCAAAGTGCTGTCTTGAAAGCAGCCTGCTATGGTGTGACAGAAGACAAGTTGAGTGGAGACACTCTGCGTGTGGGAGTGTTGTTAGCAGACAGTGAGGCAGGGAGGAAAAAGGGAGCAGGCATCTCAGTTGTAGGAGTCTCGCCTTGGTTCCGCAGCTGCAGGATTTGCCGAAGCAAGGCCTTTCCTTCTTCACGGGTCTGAAACAAAGTCAGGCAACTGTTTCAAAATATGTACAAGGCTATTCTCAAACACAGGTTAGGGTACTGGTCACATACAAGTTCCTCAGGTCAAAACAGGCTTTCCGCTGACATTCTTATCTACCTTTTACCTACTTGTCATGGAAAAGATCATATATAAGAACTAATACTTACATCATTGAATGCACAACACTTTTGGGCACAAGTTGAAGCTTCATCCCACAACTTGCACTTAAAATAGTACTGGGCCAGATAACGGAAAGCTGTGCTTTCCTCCAAGTGTTCCACTATTTCCTAAATAAAGAAAATAGGGATGACTGAGGTGATAAGAATAAGAACAGTAAGAATAAGACCAATTCTCATGCTATGACACATACCCCACAGGAATAGATGTCTTGGATGTACTTAATGTAACACTGGGCAGCCTGTTCTGATTCCGTCAGCTGCTCATGAAGCCTACAAACAAAATCAGGCATTAAATACAAATCAAACCTCATAGCAAGTTAGTGATGGAAAAGTAAAAACACATTAAGTCCAAAAGAATAGAAAATAGACACGTATAAATTTTGACATAAATGACACAACGGGACCCAAAAGAGAACTAGCGCCCATGGGAATGTTATAGTTGCTGTTACAGAGTTTAAAGGAAGGAGCTGGAAGTACAGCTCAGAGACAGAGTGATTGCTCACCAGGCTGAACTACACAGCAAGACTCTGTCTCAACCAACCAACCCTTAAATTCAGAAAAGAACTGGCAGAAATGAAAATGCATTTGAGAACTTCTTGCCCACTATTTCTGAACTATTACTCAGTTTTTTTGGTCCTTACTGGGGAGATTAGTACTTAAAGTAGTTTTCCAAGACTGCTCTAACACAAAAAACTACTTTTTTTGCCAGGATGTCCACACATGTAATCCTAACTACTCAGGAGGCTGAGGCAGAAGAATCCCAAGTTCAAGGGCAATCTGCCTTCGTGTGTGTGAGTAAGATTCTATTTTTCAAAATGGCTGGGTTATAGTTCAATATATAGCAATATGGTACTGGATTTTCTCTTTCTCTTTTTTTTCTGGTGGTGCTAGGGATCAAACACAGGGCTTTGCAATGCCAAGCAAGTACTCTACCACTGAGATACACACCTTACTCATTTCTTTTTGCAAATTCTTGATCTCTTACCTAAAAGTAAAGCTACTCCCACTCTGAAGAAAAGCGGCATTCGCTAGAGTTAAGATGGCTAAATTCCAAGGCCAGCATTCTTACGTCCTTCCACAGCTCCATCCATTACCATGTCTGACAGTGGAAGGACAGGTGACTCTAGAGCATGTAACACTGACCCACCAGCCTGGAGAAGCCAAGAGAATTATCAACATTTCCTTCCTTTCACTCACTTTGCCAGCTTCACCAGAGCCATTTTCTCTACATCTCCCACGGCATATGCTCTCCAATAACACTGTTGGAAAAAAAATAATAAATTGGTCATTTTGACCACTGCCCCATGAGCCACAGTTAACCACACAGAGGATAAAGCCCAGAAAGCCTCCTAGAAGTTCAGACTTGCAGAATATAAGGTGCACTTTTTTTGCAAGTTCTGGTAGGTCGAGACATTCCCACCAATGATCTCTGCCCACCTTCATTTTTGACCTATGAATTTATAACTATTCAGCATTCCTAAGCACATAGATCAGAATAGAGGAACAGTTAGAGCACATATAGCCCAACCTTCATCTAAACAGATTTCTACTCAAATTCCCCAGGCCTCAACTTCAGTACCTTTTTGGCTTCCACTAGTTGATTGAGTTTCTCATAACATTCTCCTAATGCAACCAGCATTCGAGAATCATTGGGCCTGAGAAAAAAGAATAGGTAGTCAGAGCAAACAAAGACTTTATCTGTAGTTCAAACTGGCCTTGAACTCGCAGGATCCTCTTGCCCTAGCCTTCACCCTCCTGCCTCAGCCTCTGCAGTGCTGGGATTATGGGTGTGCACCATCACACTCAGCTCATTTATCTGAAGTCTTCCAAGGAGGGCCTAGGTCCACTGCTCTTTCACTGCCACTTCAAATGTATGCAAGGACTGGTCTTAAATCTAATGCTTCATATACTCAGATTACTTTGTGTTCTTAATTATAATATTAACCCCTAGAGAAAGGTACTAAATAAAAAATGACTGAATACCACTTAGTAAGTTTCAGCTCAGGTCTCTAAGAACCAAAAACCATTCATTCACTGGGCTGGGGATTTAGCTTAGTGATGTCACTGCCTGACTTGCAAGAAGTTCAAATTCATCCTGAGTGAGTTCAAGAGTTCAATCCCTGGTATCAAAAAAACCCCAAAACAAAAACCATTCACTGAAATTCACAGTAGCTAACAAAAGAGAAAGAAACCATGCAGCCCTGGCCGGGCGTGGTGGCACACGCCTATAATCCCAGCACTCCAGAGGCTGAGGCAGGGGAGGCTGAGGCAGGAGGATCCTGTGAGTTGGAGACCCGCCTGGACTACACAGTGAGTTCCAGGTCAGTCTCAACAACATAATGAGACCCTGTCTCAAAAAAACAAAAAAAAGAAACCATGCAGCCCTGCGTTTCATACCTAGCACCAAAACATTAAAAGAGAAAGAAGTGCTATCAGCCTTTCCCACACAAAGCATATTATCAAGTGACAGACTTACCGAAGCTGGTGGGCCCGTCTGTAATAATAAAGGCAGTAAAATGGCATCTTAAGGATTTCATAAGTCTGCCCAAGGCCATACCAAGCTCTATAGTCCCGCTTGTTGACCTCTATGGCATGTCTAGGAAATGGAAAAGATAGACTGGTAAGAGGGCAAAATCGAGATTAGCCACTTGGCTCAACGAGGCTCCTGATATCACAGCCGTCTGTTCGATCTCACCACCCAAATGCACACTCACCGATAAGCCTGGATGGCAGCAGAGGTATTCTTCATCTCCATGTACTCATGCCCCATCAGCGTCCAGGCCCCAAGATACCGAGGATTCAGTTTCAAGGCTCTCTGGAAATACAAGGCTGCTTTCTCATGCTGAGAACGTAAACTATAATAATTGCCTGATGAAAAAAATGAAACAAACAAAAAATGAACTAAAAAGGTTAAAAAAATAAGTTTGCTAAAATAGACAGCATTCTACCAAGTAGGCATGAAACCATAAGCCATTCCCCCTAAACTCCTGGCAGCAAAGCCGAACTATATGCACGCAATGGTAATGTCACGCCCTTGAGAAATACATTTCTTACTCTATCATGTATTCTGGCTTTTAAAAAAGTCTTTTTCAGGCTGGGGATTTAGCTCAGTGACATCACACCTCCCTCACAAGTGCAAAGTCCTGAGTTCAATCCCCAGTACAAAAAAAAAGTCTTGTTCTTCATTTTATCTCATCTGGATATAGCACTTATATACACTTTCTTTGTTTTTGGTACTGGGGGACCTTGCACTTGCAAGGCAGCCAGCAAAACCACTAAGCTAAATCCCCAGCCCTATATACATTTTCTTAAAATAGGGTAGGAAAGTTCTACACCATGCTTTAGATTGGTGATTTTCAAATTACATTCTTTCAAGCCTAGGATTCCAAGCAGGTATGCTAAAGGGTTAAAAAGATACCTCTGAGTTTTCCCCCAAGAAAGGCATTTCTATTATCACTGGTCCTGAAAAGGGCATGTGAAATATTTTAAGACGCTAGCAAAGAATTTGAGAGCCTAGCTGGGCATGGTGGCGCACCCCTATAATCCCAGCACTCGGGAGGCTGAGGCAGGATCGCTGTGCGTTCGAGACCAGCTTGGGCTACATAGTGAGTTCCAAATCAGTCTCAACTACATAATGAGATCCTGTCTCAAAAAACAAAAAACAAAACAAAACAAAACAAAATCTGAGAGCCTAAAAGCCATCAGTCTTTTTTGCTCTTTTTGTGGGGGGTGGGGTAGAGTACCAAGGATCAAACTTAGGTCCTTGCGAGGCAGGCAGCACAACCACGAAGCTAAACCCCCAGCCCTGTTTTTGCTTTTTGAGACAGGGTCTTACTATGTAGTTCAAACTGGCCTTGATCTGCCTGCGTCAGCCTCCCAAGTGCTGGGATTACAGGTACATGCCATTATCCTCAGCTGTTTTTTTTGTTTGTTTGTTTTGAGACAGGGTGGCGTTATGAAGTTCAGGCTGGCTTGTAACCCAGGCTGGCCTCAGCCTCCCAAACACTAGGATTACAAGCACGCAACACCATGCCTGGCATTAAAAGCCATTTGTCTTAAATGAGGTAATGAAAGGATCCGCAAAAGTAGTATAGTCATCTAGCAGCAGTGGTTGACCTAAATCTGTCTGAAAACAATAGAGCAGTGTAATTATGTACATAACTGGTGACTCCTTCCTTTTTCTAACCAAGGTGGTGAGAATAAAATGTGGAAAGAAAAAAGAAAAGGTAGTATATCCGAATAATGGAATACTATTGAGTAATAAAAAGAATGACTGAAAAATGCAACCTAAAGGATGAACTTCAAAAACACGCTGAGCCAGGCATGATAGAGCACACCTATAATCCCTGCACTAGGAGCTGAGCCAGGAGGGTGGCTACGAGTCTGAGGCCAACCTAGGCCACACAGTGAGTTCAACGCCAATCCGAACTACACAGTGGGACTCTGTCTCAAATAACAGAGACAAAATATTATAAAATTGCATTTATACAAAATTCCTAGAATAGGAATTATTATACTTTAGAGCTAGAAGCCAGAGCAGTTGTTACAGTGGGAAAGGAACTGAGTGGAAAAAGACCCAAGGAAATATGGAGGTAATGGAATATTCTTAATAGGACTATGGTGACAGTTATAAAACTGTACATTTGCCAAGCATGGTAGCACATGCCTGTAATCCCAGCACTCAAAAATTGAGGCAAAAAGATCTAGAGTTCAAGGAAAACTTAGGATACATAGTGAGACCCTATCTCAAAAAAAAAAAAAAGAAAAAACTAAAATGCAGATACATTTCTTACGTATTTCCTTAGTGTCCTGTGTGAACTGTATAGCACTTAACCTACAGAATTAGTTTTCCTGTCCTTCTCCCACCTTCCCTCAGCACTTTATCACTGAGCTACATTTCCATCCCCTGAAGAACTGGGATTAAGACCACAGTCATCTCAAAAGGCAATTAAAGTAAGTATTGTAATACAAAGCATAGTTCCTACTACATAGAAGATATTCAATGTTTTCTAAATAAATTAGTGCCTCCCACTACTGTGGATTGAACACAGGGGCTTTGCACTCATCTATATCCCCAGCCGTTTTTATATTTTATTTTGAGACAGGGTCTTGATAAGTTGCTAAATTGCCCAGGCTGGGCTGGAGCAGTCCAGGACCATAATCCTCCTGCCTCAGCTCGAGTGCTGAAAATACAGGTATGTGACACCACGCTTCATAACAAATGTAAGATCTTGATGTAATATGACCAAGAGTCCAGGAACAGGTTTCCCATTCAGGGAACCCAGGTTTTTCGGGGGTTTTTTTGGTACCAGGGATTGAACTCAGGGCCTTACACTTGCAAAGCAGGCGGCAGAACCACTGAACTAAATCCCCGGCCCCTCCAGGTTTTCAATGAGAACCAACTACACGTACTTCCTCTAAGAGCAGTCTTACACTTGTCTACACCAATCATCAAGATCACACAGTCTGGTCAAATACATAGGGTCATGGTTCTCAACCAACAGTGGTTTCACCCACAAAAGGCATTTGCTAACATCTAGAAAAGTTTTCAGTTGTCACAACTGTGGGAGAGGGTTACTGGCATCCAGTGGGTAGAGGCCAGGAATACTGGAAATACCTACAATGCATAGGAAAGCCTCCAACAAGTTACCCAGCCCAAAATGTCAACAGACTAACAAAATCTGAAAGACTGGAAATTGTTAAAAGCTTTTTAGTTATCTAAGTTTTTTTAAAGTTTAAAACAAACACAACTTTTTGTTTGTTTGTATGTAGTCCAGGCTGGCCTTGGACTCACTATGTAGCCCAGATTGGCCTCAAACTCACAGCAATCCTCCTGCCTCAACCTCCTGAGTGTTGGGATTATAGTCATGTGCCACTACACACAAACACAACTTTGAGCCAGCTCTTTACTTTTAGGACCTTATTACACAGAAATAGATGCACAATCATGGAAAAATTAATATACATGCAGAAAGTGTTTCCTGAAGCAAAATTTTCTTTGGTGGGGAGCTATTGAGGATTGAACCTAAGGAGCTACATTCCCAGTCCTTTTTATTTTTTGAGAGGGTTACACTTGGTTATTAAATTGTCCAGACTAGGCTTGAACTTTCAACCTCCTACCTCAGTCTCCCAAAGAGCTCAGACTAAAAGTGTATGCCATTGTGTCCAACTTCCTGAAGCAAATTTTATATTAACAAACACTAGCCACAACTTACATAAAGGAAAATTATTAAATACAAATGGCAGTATATTTATATAACACACTGGGGGTGTAGCTCAGTGGTAGAGTTCATGCTCCAATCCCATCCCCTGCTGCACACAAGAGTACTCGTCATAAAAGTAATACAAATCAAGATGTACTAATATGAAAAGATGGCAGAGATACATCATTAATTTGAAAAAAAATTACAGTATGTATACTAATGACACAGTTTTTAAAACTAAGGGCTGGGGATTTAGCTCAGCGGTGGCCTGCCTTGCAAGCTCAAGGACCTGAGTTCAACCCTGGTACCAATAAATAAATAAATAAATAAATAAATAAAAATGAAACTACACATATATACACATACACACAAATTTTTAGTGTTTGCACAGAGAAATGTTCTGAAGTCATGTGCCCCAAACAATCGTAGGAATGGGATTACAGTAGACTTCATTTTTTCTGGTATGTAATTCTATTAACTTTGACACTTTAATATTGCTGTTTTTACATTCATGTTACTTACAGATAAATCTTAAATGAAAAAAAGGCAGTTAGCTCTTACCAATTACACAGCATGTCTCTACACGATATTTATCAATTTCACAGAGGTTATGAGCCAGATAACTCAACTCAGATTTCATGCTCTGGGAGAAAAGAAAAAGATGATCTAAGCACGAAAAGGGATTCCCTAAATTATTTTTCTAATTGTTAATGCAAATGGTTAACAAAAGATTAGAGCACAAAAGAACTTAATCATGCTCAAGGAAAAGCACTTTACCCTGACATAAAGAAGGTTGGAGAATGTGTCCATATTTTCAATCCTGTAAGGGTCTTGTTTCCTTAGCTCATTAAAAATGGAGAGGGCTTTGTCAATATCTGCAGAAAGAAGATAAGACTTCAGAAAACAACACAGTGCACCTCCCAGAGCCTGGTGGTATTTCATTGTCCTTATTCACTCACCTCTGATATTGTGATAGGCAACTGCAATTTGGGAAACAATATATGAGCTCTTAGAAAAGCCCACATCAATGAGATTCTGATACTTTTGTAGGGCCTCCTCTATCAACTGCAACTCTGTGTATATATGGGCCAGAAAAAACTCTTTCATCCAGGTGTCTGGCAAAGACAGGAACTTCAGCTGGCAGCAGGAGAGAGGGGGACATAATACAATATAATTTGAACTCTCTCCCAAATGAACATCAAGAACAATCTTTATTGTCTAAATGGGATTTATTATTTCAAAAAATGTTAGGGCACCTAGTAATGATTATAAGGTAATCCAACTAAGTGAATATGACTTTCAAACACAACTGGGAAGAATGGCTTCAAAGAAAAGACAGAATTTGAAGTGAGTCTTAGAAGACAGACAGGATTTAAATTGAGAAAGGGAAAAGAAGAGAGAGAACAGACACTTTCTGGGCAAGAGCAACAAAATAAGTACAAGCAAAACAGATATAATGAGTATAGATAGGCAGCATGAAGCAACTAGCTCAGTTTGAGAAACCTACGTACAGGGAAAGAGAGAAAACTGGATTGGTCAGGTGGTTCCTATCAGGCAAATGAAAATAGGGTACAGTAGGAAACCACTACACGTTTCTAACAGAATGATGATACTGTATTAAAAATAAGTTTGGAAGCAATATGCTGGATAGCTTGGAAATGGAATGTAAAAATGGGAAAGCTAGAAAGGAAGTATCTATTACTTATAAATAATTCAAACTTGAGATGATGACTGATGGCAAAGGGAACCAAGAGAAAGAGAGGTGTACAAGAAACAATCACGGTGCTGTCTCATGACTGACTAAATTAAGGAAGAGTCTGACGTGTGAAGACCGAATATTGGAGAAATACTGAAGGTAGTAAGAAGCTATCAAGATGGGGGAAAGAACAAGAATTTAGTGGGCAAGCTGAGAAATTTGATATTGCATATTTTGAGCTCAGAGGTAAAACTTTCAACACAAGCCTAGTAGGCAATTAGATATGGTGAAAACAAGTTAATCTAAGATAAAATTTCAGGCACAGATTTGGTAGCATAAATCAATCTGCCTTTGGCTATACAGCCTACAAGAAGGGTGCTGTTATTTCCCATTACCCATGGAACAGCACAATGAACAGGTTGACAAAGAACTCTAGCAGTGACTAATAAGAGGGCAGTTTATAAAATAGTTTCATACTTTAAATCTCCAAATCTTCAGAATCCATGAGAGGTCTGAAAAGTGTTTCAATTCAATCTGTGATATCAGAGAAAATTTCCTGTAGCATCTTTGGATAATGTTACAACTGTAACACTAACTCTGTAAAACAAGTTCCAGTAAAATTTGAATGGGAGGGGCCGGGGATTTAGCTCAGTGGTTCCACCGCCTGCCTTGCAAACACAAGGTCCCAAGTTTGAATGCTGGTAGCAAAAAAAAAAAAAAAAAAATTAAATGAGAAGACAGGACTATGAAAAATACTCTAAATAGATGCAAATCCAACAACAACTACTGAACAATAGTTATCATCAAATAAAGATCCACATTCTAAAACAAAGAAAGGGAAAGAGCAAGCTGTAGCCAAAGGTCATACTGGCAAAAATGGCCCCTCCTACTAAATGATTACGGAATTACATAAGATTTGCAGCAGAGGGTTTTCTCAATTTAGCTTATCTCAACTTACCATTTCTTTGTCAGTGATCAGGTTACAGAGTTCTAACCAGGCTCCCCAGTGCAAAGGAAGAACGTGAGTAGCTTCCACAAACACATCAATGGCCTCTTTCACCAAGTCCAGCTTTCGAAGCACCACACCATACCTAGAAAAGAACACAATCACCAGGGAGGGTTGGTCAATGCTTTGTAATACCTCTCTTCTACTCAAGAAAAAAACTTTTGTTTTGGTACTGAGGAGCAAACTCAAGACTTTGCACTTGCCAGGAATACACTGTGCTACAACCGCAGCCTCAAGAAAATATTTTACAGAAAGTTCTAAACTATGCCAGACAGGGTGGTCCATGTCTGTAATCTCAGAACTTTGGAAGGCTAACACAGGAGGGTCACAAATTCAAGCTCAGCCTGGGCAACGTAACAATTTAATGAGATCCTATCTCAAAATGAAAACATTTTGCCAAGAATTTATCTCAGTGGTGATGCCGCCTGCTTCACAAGTGCAAAATCCAGAGTTCAATCCCCAGTACAAAAAAAAAAAATTAAAACATTTTATAAAGGCCTGGGGATATAGATCAGTGAGAAAGTATTGAGTTCTATCACCAATACTGCAAAAAGGGGAGGGGGAGATACTTCTAAATTATAGCCAGGTATGGTGGTGCACACCTTTAATCCCAGCATATGGAAGGACAATGCAGTAAGATCGCAAGTTCAAGTTCAGCTTGGGCAAGTAAGGGAGATTCTGCCTCAAAAAAATTTTGAGACAGGGTATCACTATGCAGTTGAGACTGACCTGGAACTCACTATGTAGCTCAGGCTGGTCTCGAACTCACAGCGATCCTCCTGCCTCAGCCTCCCAAGTGCTGGGATTATAGGCATGCACCACGACGGCCGGCTCAAAAATCTTTTTAAAAAGGGTTGGGGGTGGTGCTGCTGGGGATGTGGCTCACGGCTAAGGCCCTGGGTTTAATCCCCAATACTAAAAAAAAAAAAAGGTTCTAAATTACTATAATACTTACAGATAAAGGCCAAATCCATCAAGTTCCCGAGCTTGATGTTTTTTGCTGAGCTCCACTCTTAATTCTCTAAGAGCCTCATTTTTTACTTGTCCTTTCTCCAAGGGACCTACAAAAGAAATAAAGTCTCTTACCTAACAAAAGGACGCTGGTTTTCACTTTCACAGACATAAACATTCCCTTTGGCATCAAAGTTATACCTGAAACCTCCAGCAAATGCAAGTGGCCAATGATATTTTTTTTGTTTTTGTTTTTATTTTTTGAGACAGGGTCTCACTATGTAGGGAGACTGACCTGGAACTCACTATGTAGCTCAGGCTGGTCTCGAATTCACAGCAATCCTCCTGCCTCAGCCTCCCGAATGCTGGGATTACAGGTGTGCGCCACCATGCCTGGCCGCGAATATCTTTTACAATCCATTTATTCTACTTCAGAAACTGCAACTGGGTCTGCAGTCCTATTTTATGAAGCCCACACAGTTGTTTTTAAAAAATTAGTTTTGTTTTAAAAACAATTATCAATGTTTAAAAATTAGAAGAATTACAATTAAAAATCTGAATTTTCAGCTCAGCTTATAGGAAACAGGGACAGGGTATGGGAAGAACCCTAACAGCACCAGGTCCAGATTCTCACAAGGCAGCCCTCGGCTGGAGCTGGGTGGCAACCAGGCAGTTGGCATAAGTCAGGTGCTCTTTAATTTGCAACAGTGCTCCTCAGTCCACTTATATTACCGGCCTGATCCCATAGGCAGCCTTGCTTTTTAGGCTAAAAGATAAGGAAAATACTCATACCTAGGCTATCAACTGTTTCATCATCCTTCTTTTTCTCTCCAGACTGTAAGAGAAAATCAACAAGTAGGTCTTTTTTTCAGGTTATTTTAAAAACACATATAAAAACTGGCAGCCTAATTCTACCTAAAGGACTCATGTCCAACCAAAATGCCAGCTACTTTGGGTCACTACTTTTAAAGCATCACTCATGGGTTCCCACTGGCTAACTCTGGGATGATCTATACCAAAATAGTCATGAATGTAATCTTTTTCTGTTTCTTTTTCTTTTTTTTTTTTTTTTTTTTTTGTGGTACTGGCGATTGAACTCAGAGCCTTCACACTGAGCTACATCCTTAGCTTAGTGATGAAGCAAAATCCTGTCTCAAAATAAAAAAGGGCTGTGGATGTAGCTCAGTGCAAAGGCTCTGGGTTCAATAATCAGGACCATTCATTAATTAATTTAGAGGGAATTTTTCATCAAGTGCAAGATATTTACACAGACTTTAAATGTATCCACATAGATTGTTGATTAGTTGCAAGTAAAACAAAAGTAACTAAACAGTACAAAAAGTGGAAAACATCTTGACCAAGTGATCAAAATTGGCATCAGCAATGATGGGATTGAGGATAACATGCTCTACCCACAAACTATTCTGATCAAGTTATGTATAACCAGAATAAAACTGTGAAGAAACATGAGACATCTAAAATGAAGAATGTTCCATTTGAAACAAAAAAAAAGAACAGGGGGTCAGGTGTGCTAGATGTCAGCTACTCAGGAGGCTGGAGGAGGAGGATCACAAGCTCAAGGCCACCCTGGACATAAAAAAGACCTAGTTTCAAAATAAGAAGTAAGGGCTGGGGCGGAGTGTAGCTTAATGCTCCCTGGGCTTATCCTCCAGTGCTGCAAAAAAAAAGAAAAGAGGGGAGAAAAAAAAAAAAAAGGAGGTCAAAATCCATAGAACGTACAACACAAAGACCGAACCTTAACTGTGGCCTTCTAGTCAGTGACTGTATCAAATATACCACGCATGCAGGATGCCGATGACAGGTTGAGCTTGGGGGAGTGGTATATGGGGACTCTCATACTTTCTGCTCAATTTTGCTGAGCCTAAAACTGCCCTAAAAAAAGTAGTCTATTAATTAAAATAGAAAGGAAAAACAAGAAAAGATGGAAGAACTATGAGCTTTGAAACAAGACAAAGAAAGATTATTCTAGATGAGGGGATATTCATGTCAATCCAATGGAATTCCTGGTCTGTTAGATTGTACCGAGAGGGAAATGCTGTAGTAAACACGGATGAGGGAGCTGGGCAAGGGGGCACACATCTGAAATCCCGGCCTCTGGGAGGCCGAAGCAGGAGGATTTTGTAATTATAGCCCAGCACGGGCAAGACCCTGTCTCAAAATACAAAAATAAAACTGGCTGGAGATGAAGTTCAGTGCAGAGGCCCTGGGTTCAATCCTCAGTACCAAAAAAAAAAAAAAAAAAACCCACCAAATTTAAGATGGTAAATTTTTTTTTAATAAAAGAATACAATTTATTTGAAGATTGGGAAGGAGGAGGAAAAGAGAGATGACAGTTACTCTGGATGAGTAGGGAGAATTTGAAAGTGAATTGCTTCTAGATGGTAAATTTTATATGTGTACCTTACCACACACACACACCAAAAAAAAAAAAAAAAAAAAAAAAAAAAAAAAAAAGAGAGAGAGAGAAATGAATTAGCAGGACACAATGCAGCATGCCTGTAATCCCAGCACACAGGAGGCTGAGGTGGGAGAGTCATCTTAAGTTTAAAGCCAGGGATATAGCTAGTTTGAGGAGAACCTGGGTTGTAAAAGGCGAAAGATTTATGCGATCTGAAGAGAAACCAGAGTATAGAACCTGGGTTGTATAGTGCGATCCTGCCTCAAAAAGAAAAAAAAAAGTTAAAAGTAGTCCATAATCACAAGAAGTTATAGTAATTGACAATTATAAACTACTAATACTTGGAAGTAAGGATTCTATAAAATACTTTAAAAATCTATTTACCTGTAACTAAGAAGCCTGGCATGGTGGTGCACACCTATACTCCTAGTACTTGGGAGGCTGAGGCAAGAGGAACCTCAAGTTCAAGGCCAGCTTGGGCTACACAGTCAGTTTAAGGTCAGCCTGAACTACAGAGCAAGACCCTGTCTCAAAAAATTTTTTTAGCCAGAAATTTAGCTCAGTGATTCTGCCACCTGCCTCGCAAGCACAAGGACCTGAGTTCAATCCCTGGTAACAAAAAAAAAAAAAAAAAAAAAAAAAAAAAAAAAAGAACTTAAGGTAATCCTTTTGCCTCAGCCTCCCAAATTCTAGGATAACAGGTGACAGGTATGTACCACTGTGCCTGGCATATAATTTTTAAATTACTGTTTGATTGTCTGTTAGATTGATCGACATTTCCAGTCCTGGGAATCAAACCCAGGGTTTGCACATGCTAGGCAAATGCTGTACCACTGAGCTATACTCCCACACCTTTTTATTTATTTTTAACATTAGCAAGTTTTATTAAATGGAGGAAAATAATCAGGTTCTGCAGAGTTAGTCTGGGCCAAGAAAAAAAAGGAAAAGAAGCAAACCCTATAGTCAGAAGGCAGACCACTATGCAAGGGAGAACATAGTGACGTTTTTTTCCTTAGGTTTTTTTTTTTTTTTTTTTTTTTTTTTTTTTTTTTT